CTAGAATTCGGTGTCGTGCGCAATGTGATCTTGGTCAGCATGTTGCCTTCAGGGTTGACACATAACACGCACTAAGGAAATCCGCTTATTCCCAGTCATCACGATTGGCTTTGTTCCCACTGGCGACAAATGGGAAAAAACCCATATGTTACCAGGTGGTACCAAATGGCATAAAAAGATCTGTTGTTGCGACTAGCGACAAATGGAATTAAAAATATCCCAGTGGTTGCCAGTGGTAACAAATGGAATAAAAAATCCCAATTAATGTTTGTGTATTGCCACTATCGAAAGGAAATAAAATAAAACTCAGTTCAGCGGGAACAAAGCCGGTGGTGACGACTGGGAATAAACGGGGAAACCTGTATCGCGGGTATCATGGACACATACATAGACAACCTCAAACTCACTAGAGAGATAAATGTAGGCCATACAAATATTTCTCCCAGCCCGAGAATCAAACCCGGGACCTCAGCGTGGCAGTCCAGCGTGGTAACCGTTCGGTCACTGAATCAGTTTATTCTATTATTTCGGACTTGCCATAGTGACGACATTACTAATGGTAGGGCCAGAACTAGTTTTATTGTTTACGTATTAAGTCATGTTTATAACGATAGGTTATTTAAATTGTGCATTCGTATATTATGTTTCTATTTGTGAGGATCTATAATTGGCTCTCAGTTGTTACTATTATTATATAAGTTAGTTTTAAGCTGTTGGTCTTCCTTTAAGATAAATAAATAAATAAAATAGGAAAAGGAGAAAAGTACCTAGTGTAATTCGCACCCCCCATGACTACCGGCACTGCAAAATGTTCCACAGCATGTAAAACTTTCTCTGTCACGTAATCGGCGCAGAACGAGTTCTCAAACGACAAGTAAAAGTAATAATAATTTTCAATTGAAGCAAAGCATTCATCGTCATTGCAAGACATATTGCCGCACCATCCATAAATATCTATAGTGTGCTCATATTTGGCTAGTTCTTTTTTCAACACCTTGACATACTGAGCTCTGTTGCTTATAGCGTCGCAGTGCGAAACAAACCAGGCAGCAGCAATTTTCTTTTTCCGAAACTTACGTACGATACTTTTACTCGTTGGCTTCATTTCACGAGGGGCCTTCCAATTCATTTCGGGTTTCGGGCCGATTAATTCACCGTAATCGTTGCGTACTGCAATGTACGGGCAGACTAGATCCGAATCAAACTTATACGTCCAAGTCCAATTGAAAAAGTCATTATACTCTGATGTGAACGGGTAATTTGCTGCAGCCTCCAAGCTGTAGAAGACATACTTCTGTCTATTAGATCGCTTTTCTGGTCTCTGCACTTCACCTCTTCTAATACCCACAGGGTTGAACAGAACGACGTCAAAGTCTGTGACGTCGTCTAGATAGTTATGTTCTTCGGTAAAGAAACAATTTTGATATACACAATTCCGATCTATAAAAGGCTTTTGCTCCAACTCTATGTGTTGAAATGGCGCATGTAATTTCGTTGCTAGTAGAATGTAATACATGCTTTCGTTTTTTGGACGACCACTTACGTAGGATGCGAGCGTGTTTAATAGTACAAATGTTATGACTTTCTTAACAACGTATTTCTCAACCATTTCCAAAGTATCTTTGTGTAGAACCCCTTTGTGAATATACCAGCGCTTCAATTGTTTCAACAGCAGCAATGCTGTCTACCGGGTTAAATAGTTCATGTGCAAGACTTAGGATCTTATGTACCACAACCGGCAAGGCAGTTTTGATGTTCTGTCTGTAATGATCGGTTAGACATCCGATTGATTGATGACTGCTTCCAGGTTCCAGAAGAAGGACTTTACAAAGTATATCACATTAGAAGGTTTTCTGTAAACTGTTTTAAAAACTTTCTCGTACCCAAAATGTGCCAAAACCTGTCTGAAATTTTAATGTTATTCGATTTTAATCTTAATGTGGTAAATAATGAAGTTGTTAGAAGTAGCAGACCAACATTTCGGGCCCTTTACAGATCAAATGGTCACGGTAGATGTTGTTTGTTTAAAAAAAAACAAAACATCGCGATATGGGTTCGAAAAAATAGTTTTCGATATACCTATTCCTCTTGTTGAGTCTAGTGACTAAAAAGGTAATGGGTAACTCAAGTAAGGTATATATGAAACTAGGATACTTTAAACAAACAAGGAACAATAGTCATTTTTCAAACAATAGGATTTCAACGGAACGGATAAATGTTTTGACAAAAAATTTATAAATGTTTCCGAAACTTCATATATGGACGGAAATAATAAAAATAGATATTTGAAAATATTGATATATCATACAAGAGCCAATTTAGCATAATTTTGTGATTGGAATCGGCGGACGTATGAGTAACTGTACGCATGTACTGCTTTCTTCTTCAACTATGAACATCCTGGTGAAGGTCACTTCATCTTTAACCTATGTATGTCCAAGTTGATAACCAAAATTTCCTTCAATTCTAGTGATAATAACATGTATTCTTGTATTTTAATAGCAGTAGAGCTCCTTGTGAAAGAATTCGTCCAGGGAAGTACTGCCACCTTACCTATTTCTGCCGCCAAGCAGTAATGTGAGCATTACTGCGTTCCGGTTTGGAAAGGTGAGGATGCTTGTGAAATTACGGGCACATGGGACTTGTCAACTTATATTCTAGGGTGACGGGCGCCGTGGCAGTGACTCTTAGCGATCTTTGCGAATTAAAGCTCTGATTAGCACTGAAACTGTTATAGAGAGGCGTGTCGCTTACCACCAGGTGCACGACTTGTTCGCCCCGTCACTTGTTATAATATAAAAAAAAGTTCCATGTTCTTCAGACGTCTGAAACGAATTCTATGATCTACAGGTTTGATAACCAAAATGTCCTGTACGAGTATTATAGTGAGAAAATAAACAAACTTGCAAACTTATTATTATTTGCATTTCGGTAGTTTTCGAGATATTGGCACCTAAAGTCATACTGTCACTTAAAAAAATGTCAATTACTAGTTACATTAATACAAAGACACGAACACCAAGAAAGATTACTTCGTTCCGACAGGATTCAAACCAGCGCCTTCAGCATACAGTGTCAGATCTTTATATTAATAAATTGTAACAAACTGCAGTACCGGCACGCTATAGTGGCCGTTTTGACAGATTGCAATGATGAGGTCAAATCTCAATTCATTATCGAAAAAATATAATCAAATGCGAGTCGCATTTATAAGTTTTTAGATTTATAACTAGTATTGCAGGGGGTAGCTGATTAAACAGTTGTAATAAAACTAAAATAAAAATGTTTACTTAATATATCGTAATTTCGAAACTGCTTTGTTTTTCATTGAGCTTGACGCGAGGTTGCCGGAGGTAGAAGTTGTGCTGGGCAGAGAGCCCATAAGTGACGATCGTATTAGATTTCATTTTTTTTAATTTCGAATTTCGAAAAACAAATGCCGAGTTGTGTCATAAAATTATACATCCATAAATTTTTACTGCGTGTCACTGTTGACAACAATGTTCAGCAATTAGCTCCTTCAACGTAGTTATGAATTAATACGAAACTTGATGAGCGGACAAACGTCAAAACGGCCATCATAGCGTGCCGGTACTATAGTGGAGTCATTTCATAAAAAATTATTGAATATCGTTGTAGTAAAACATCGTGATATTCATCGCTGAATTTGCTTAACAATAAAACTGAATTGAAATGAGATATTAAAAACCGATTATTTCCGATTCGTTATGCTGATCCCAGATATTTTGATAACTGAATTTCGCTAAAAATGTCCATTACATTAGTTATTAGCACACTCCGAACACTCTATACAACGGTCGAAAGTTATTTACCTACGTAGGGCGCACTATAAGTTTCTGGAACTGGCCACTTACATAAACAATATTTAAAAAGTAATTAATTAACCCATTTGAAAATGGAACTCTTTGGCTGTAGAATACAGTTTGTTTCATCTGACTGTCACTTGTTTTTACATTGTGGCGTCAATTTAGAAATTGGTTGTCTACGTCACCATGGATTTAACTCGTGAAAATTTTCGTAGTATGATTTTCTACGACTTTAAGTGTAATTTAACAGCTCAGCGGAGCTTCGCTCGGCTCCAAACGGCTTTTAGCGATGAAGCACCATACAAGACGACTATTTATAACTGGTTTGCAGAATTCAAACGCGGTCGTGTGAATCTCAGTGACGAATTTCGTGATAGTCGCCCGTCCACTGCTGTGAAACAAAAACATCGATACTGTGCGCCTTATGATCAAAACAGACAGGCATGTGACATACCATGAGATTCGAGCATCTTTAGGCATAGGCATGAGTTAAATACAATCAACACTACACAAACATTTGGGTGTGAAAAGGCTGTGCTCTCGTTGGATCCCACACAATTTGACTGAGGCTCAAAAAACGGTTCGCGTCACTTGGTGCAATGCCATGCTTACCAGATTCAACGAATTTGGTGTGGGACATAGTAACAGGTGACGAAACATGCATTTATAGTTACAATCCCAAAACAAAGCAGCAATCGAGCGTATGGGTCTTTCGAGATGAGCCGTTTTTGCCTTCTTTGTTCTGATTTTGATAGTCGGCTTTCTAGAATTGAAATCAGTTTTTATTCATACACATTTCTATTAAAACAAAACTATTTATTGCATAAGTGTGACCAACATACAGTCGATAGTCGATAGATAGATAGATAGATAGATATTTATCGACCGCAATCACTAGCTGCTTGCAAGCGGGCAATACCTTCGCACAATGAACTGTCATTTTACTTTATATTAAAAAGAAAGACAAACTATAGCCACTTCTACCTACAGCTCCCATACCTTTTCTACATAAGTTTTTATTATAGTGACCGTCCCTATCAACCTCTTGGTTATGCGGGACGGGCACTATAACCTATGCGCGCACAGGAACCTTATAAGATCAGGCAGTGCACAGGGTTGTCACAGACCGTTGTCTCTTCTGCCTACAGTTGAAAATTGTGTTTGTTATTTCAGTGCCATGAGCTATCGAACAGCGAGCGCGAGCTAGCGAAGATACGTGAAGACATGCGCGAGCTGGAAGGCAGACTCAAATGGACGCAGAGCAAGCTGCGATGCGAGATGGATGCTTACAAGGTACCTTATCTATTGCATATTTCTTTTATCTCCGTTTGCTACCTCTGGTGACAAAAGCAAACTTATCATAGTGCCAGTCCTACTTGCCGCCCGCGCAACGGTTATGTATGAAAGACGGCCTCTGTGGTCCGGGAGGTTTGCACTATGGGCGCTGGACAAGGAGGTTCCGGATTCAATTCCCGATAGGACCAATTTGGGAACTGAGCTTTTCTTAATTGAGTTTTTCAGGAGTCCGCGGAACGGGCTGAGAAGCTGTCCCAGCAAGTTACTGAACTTGAGGCGGCTAAGGAAGCGGCCACGACCAATGCCACAGACGCTTTACGGGCTAGACAACTAGGTGAGACTAAAGGCCGGTTCACGCGGTCGTGCTTATCCTTGTCGTAAAATGGAATCCACGCAAACCGCGTGCGAGGAATACTGTAACGTATACACTTGTTAATAGCAGTGTAACAGACTTGTGAAACAGTTCGTCCAGGGAAGGGGGATAAAAAAAGGTACTGCTGAAATTACAGGCACATGGGACTTGTCAAGTTATGTCTCAGGGTGACGGTTGCAGTGGCAGTGCCCCTCAGATCTTTGTAATTTAAAGCTCTGAGTGGCCCTGCAACTGTTATGGATAAGCGTGTCGCTTACCACCAGGCGCACAACTTGTTCGTCCCGTCACTTGTCATAATAAAAAAAACCCCATTACATTTTGTATGCCTAATATTTGGCCGAGCACAGAGAAAGTATACTTATTTTGTGGCAGTCATTTATATGATCGAATGATAATTTTGAGTGGTACTAGTGATTAATAAAGTCTATTTCATTTTTTTTATGAATTCACCTTAATTATTTTTTTTAAATAATATGCGATATTACTTGAGGTACACGTTTTGGGCCAAATTTATGTGAAAGAATAAACGAATCCTTTAAATAATTATTAATACAAAGATTAATAATTACTTAAGAACACTTAGAAAAAATTCCTTCAATCCGGCCGGATTTGAACCGACGTCTCCTAGCAAACGGTGCCGGTCGCTATGCCAACTAAGCCACGGAACGAACCATCACGGAATGAACTCATAGATACGGCTACGGCTAAAAAGTCGTTGAAGACCAAAGACAACAATCCGACAACAAGCATATACAAAGATTCGTGAGGTGCGCTGGTTCGTTTCGTGGCTTAGTTGGCATAGTGTCTGACACGGTTTGCTAGGAGATGTCGGTTCGAATTCGGCCGGATCGAAGGAATTTTTTGTACATGTTCCAGTGGTGAGATGTGAAAATTTTCCTTGGTACAGCCGAAGCTTAACTTTTTGAAAAAACAAAAAACAAAGTCATTTTACATTTTATGCTGCCCGTCGCGATGCAAAAGTTTGTAAACAAACTCATGAATGCTGAGCGTTGCTATTTTAATTACCTACGAATTACCATGACATTCTACATACATTCGTTACACAATCCTATTAGAAGAAACACTCCGTTAAATATAGATACATATGTAACATTATTTATCGTTAAGATTTACAAAATAGAAATTAACCATATTTTGTATTAATTTGCTATTAAAATAATTTTGTTATTTAATAAAGTTTTTAACATATTAAACTATAATGTGCTGGAATAAGGTTTAAATTTAAGTGTACGCTATTCGACAATAACTCTAATTACTGTGGCTTTTCGGCTGCCATTTCTTTATATGTCATAGACCGGATTTTTGCGAATGTGTGCGTATATTTTGTTGGGAGCGCGTTGATTTTATGAATGAAATAGAACTCGCCGATCCGCCGGCTTACCTCGCGTTGATTGGTTGAGATGCATCTGTACAAGTTATTACGCGTCTAATAATGAATATTTTGAATAAATGTTTTTTTAGCGATGGGGTATGCGCTGGGCAACTGGTAATAGGTACGCGGGAAATTTAAAGCAAGCCGGTGGGAATCGAGTTATCCAGACACCTCGCCACTGATGTGTTCCCCTGTGTGTCTGCGATCCTTCGTGTCGTGTGCACGAGCGCTTCTATCTTTGTATTAATAACTATACCAAACTAGTGGAGTAATTTCACAAAAAAAATAATTGAATATCATGGTGGTGAAATATTCTGACATTCAATAAAAATTAAATCCCTTAAATGTTAAGTAATGAAAAGTTTATAGTCAAAATTCTCTTTGTTATCCGCAGAACAAGAACTAAAAGAAAGCCAAGCATCCTTAATCCTCTGTCGACATGAAAGAGAGGAGTTAGAGAAACGCCTTACGACCACAACACAACAGTTGGATGTCTGTAGGAAGGAGAGAGACAGCGCTAGTAGCGCTCTCTCTCGTGCTACTGCTGAGGTAAGTGCCTACACATACAGGAAATAAACATACTACGTACTATAGAGTATAGTCTGTCTTTTTTGAAGACGGAGTAAAATGACAGTTCTTTGCGCAAAAGTGTTGCCCACTTGGTAGCAGCTAGTGATTGCAGTCGATAAATATTTTGTCGACTATCGGCTGAATATTGATCACGCTTATGGAATAAATAGCCGAACTTGTGTCATGAGAATCATCCTCGACTCATTATTCATCCAATTACTGAGCACAAGTTCATTTAAATTGTCACTTTTTGTGAGTTCGTAGATACATACACTGTATTTGGAACTACGTTTATGAAAAATACTACGGCTTTTTAAAATGTATATGAATAAAAATTTATCTCAATACTAGTAGGCCAACTGTCAAAATAAGAATAAAGAAGGCTATAACGCAATTAGTAATCATTAGAACGTCACAAATCAGCCATTTTTGGCAAAATTATATCTTCTTTCACAATCTATCGATAAAACTATCGACAACAACTACATAACTATTTAAAATTTTATAACAACTCCCAACCCTACAAATGTCATTTTACTCCGTCTTCATATTAGTGATATATCGATGAAAATGATGATGCAACTTTACTTTACATTTCTAGGTGGAACAATTGAAAGAAAGCAACTTGAGGTTGGAAGAGGAAGCGGCGGAGCTAGCGGCGCTTAGGGCACAGGCGGCTTTAGCTGATACACTAGGTGCTCAGTTGCAGAGGTAAGCTAGTATCATTTATTGCCGACCTACCGCTTAACTGAACGGTTCCTGAGGTAGGTGCGAGGTGCGGGAAGAGTGACAGTTTACGTAACAGTTATGGCGTGCTGCACACGGGACAATTTCAACAAGATTTTTCTGACGGTATTCAATAACAAATTGATTGAAAGAGATATCTTTGAATTTGTATTGAATTAATATTCAATTATTTTTTGTGAAATGACTCTACTAGTTTGTTATAATGATTAATACAGAGATCGTACACTTAGAAAAAAATCCTTTAAAGCTCCGAGTGGCGCTGACACTGTTACGGTCAGGTGTGTGGCGTACCATCAGGCGCACGACTTGTTCATCCCGTCACTTGATACTTATTATAAAAGAATGCTATATCTAAAGTAGTTGATTGGTTTGCTGTTAATAACCTACTCCTTAATGAGAAAAAAACAAATTGCGTAAAATTTACATTACAATCAACGCCCTGCGCGTTCAGTACAACAACGCGTTCAGGGTTTTATTGGGTTTGCCACGGTACTGCAGCGCATCAGGCATGTTCGCGGATGCCCACACGGATGGTTTCCATGCTATCCTTAGAAAGAGAGCTGCCTCATTAATAAGTCGTATCCGTTGCGGCACGAATGAGATTCTGCGCGTTGTGGCTGATAGAGTGGATTGGCCGATCATGCTACATTGTATGAAACTGCATTTAAAACCATGTTGATGATTTATTTGATATTTAATTTAATTTGTTTAATTATTCTAATTATCTAAGCTAATATTATAACTGTAAAATATGGACTGTAGTTGTCTGAGAATAAATGATTTTGGATTTGATTTGATTACCCAATGTTAGAGAGACGGTTACAAATATTGTAGTTAGTAACGAAAAATTGAATCTTGTGGTTTCTAGGTATAACGTTAGATCCTAAATTACAATGGGGTCTCCATTTTAAGTAAGTTATCAAAACAGCTCGGCTCTGCAGTGTACGCGATTAAAAAAATAAGGAAACTTTCAGACGTCGAAACCGCTAGATTGGTTTACTTCAGCTACTTTCACAGTCTAATGACATACGGCATTTTGCTATGGGGTAATGCCGCTGATATCAATAGAATCTTTGTCCTGCAGACACGTGCAGTTAGGGCAATTTACAATCTGGGCCGCAAAGTATCTTTGAGTGATAAGTTTAAGGAAATTAACATTCTTACACTAGCCTCACAGTACATTTATGAAAATGTAATTTATGTTAAAAGGAATAGTAATTTATTTATGAAAAATAGTGACAGACATAACATTAATACGAGGAATAAAAAAAAAGTAGCTTTTCTTGATAGTCGTCTTCACAAAGTCAAAAAATCATTTAAGGGGCAATGTATACGCTTCTATAACAAGATTCCGGTTGATACACAAAATTTGCCTTTCACGAGGTTTAAAACTATAGTGAAACAAAAACTTTATACTAAAGGTTATTATACAACTTCTGCGTACTTGGATGACAAAAATCCGTGGTAGTAACCCGTTTAGCTCATGGAGGTAGTCTCAATCTGATGTTTCAAATAAAAAAATATTGTAAATGTTATTTACAAAGAGCAACCCCTAGAGTTTCTTGCTCATTCTTCTCAGGGGAATCTGCCTTACGAATGAGCGGTAGAGTTTAACCATTGTGACGATTTCAAGTGTAATAATGCTTGCCTATGAAATAAAGATTATTTTGTTTGAATAAGAAAAGGTATAGAAGTCCTGAGTTTTAACCGACTTCAAAAAAGGAGGAGTTTCACAAATTGATTGGTTTTTTGTGTGTAAGTTACGCGATTTCTGCGTCATTTGTGAACCGATTTTGATTAATTCTTTTTTGTTGCAAAGAGGGCACCTCAGTGTTGGTCAGTATGCATCCGATTCGTATTTGTTCCTAATCCGAGACTATACAAATCTAGAAAACTCGGACCCGCTTTGGATGTCGCTTGTGCACTAAGTCCTATTCGAATCCGAGAAAAACGAATATCGCTTGTACACCTAGAGATAAAATGATCCCTGCGACGTTTCGGACCGTCATTTCTCGGATTCGGAACTAATACGAATCGGACGTAGTGCGCAAACGCTCCTAGGGGATGAATCCGGTTTCGCGCACTTTCTGGTAACCGGTTTCATTAAAATTTTTGAGGTCAGGTAAGAAAATCCCTTTTTAAATAAAAAAGTTATAATTTTAAAAGGCTCGAGAGTTGTGTGTGGATAAAATAAAGTGGCGTTCCGTGGTTTCTGCCTACCCCTACTGAGGGACTAGGGTATAAGTAATATAAAGATATATTATAATTAAGAAATCACGTAATGTCAATTTCAAATTATAGAGAGACAGAACGTGCGACCTCCCTAGAAGAATCCCTTCGCCTTGAACGAGCGCGTGCCGAGACGTGCGCTAGACGCGAGGCAGCTGCGCTGGAGCACGCCGCCACCTTGACTGCTCAGCACGTAGCTGCCCGAGCGACAAGCAGTGACACGCATGCTAAGGTATACTACAATAATGCAGTATTTTTCAAGTGTGGTCGGGTAATTTTACTCATTGACCGACTTCAGTCGGGTAATTTTACTCATTGACCGACTTCAAAAAAGAAACAGGTTCTCTGAACCAACTTTTATTTTTAAATTACATATTAATAATGGACTTAATTATGTTATTCTGGTATTATTTTACTATATTAATATTTAAATTTTTATTGAATTGATATTCAATTTCTTTTTTTAAATTACTCCACTAGTTTGTTTCAAATATAAACACAAAGATTTACGAACACTTGGAAAAATTCCTTCGATCCGGCCGGATTCGAACCGACGTCTTCTAGCATACCGTGCCAGACGCTATACCAACTAAGCCACGGAACGAACCAGCGGACCTCACGAATTTTTCTATGTGCTTGTTGTCGTGTCTTTGTATTTGATTTTTCAACGACCTTTTAGTCGTAGCGTCATCTTGTTTTTCAGAGATGTTCGCAATTTGAATATAATAACAAAATCGAATTTGACGTTAATATTAAGCAACAATAACATTTTCACAGATAAGAAATTCGTTCTAACAAAACAGTTTACCTTTATGCTAGTCGTAATTTGGGGTTTTTGAACACATCATAGAGGGTTTATGATATGTGTGTAGATAAAAACCATTTTGTAAAAAAAATTACGTTCATTTCAGGCTCAAGCGCTTGCACTTGACAACGCGTCTTTACGCGAGCGAATAACTGAACTTGAGCAAGAGTGTACATCACTACGTGCTGCGTTGAACGAGGAGACCGAAAGGCGGAACAAGGAGAACAGAGTGCTCGCTAGGAAGGTATGACTTACAATAAACATTTTTACAAGTGTCGTCTATAAACATCTCTCACCCTCAATGCAAATATGGCATAATTCGAAAATTATCATTATAGGAAAACTGAAATAATAATAATAATAATTTTATTGCAATAGATATATCTGTATGTGAGACTTAAAGAGCTTTTAGTGCCAGATAGTAATTTTACTGTAGTCTGTCTTTTTTAAAGACGGGTAATACGAGGCTGCCAGTTTTTTTTTAAATTTTAAATAGTCATGTGTTGTTGTCGACAGTTTTATCGATAGATTGTGAAAAAGGTAAAATTTTGACAAAAATGCTTGAATTGTGAATCTTACGACGTTCTAATGATTACTAATTGTGTTATCTTTATTCTTATTTTGACAATAAATTCAAATTACCTACAAAATATTACCATCTCTATGAATATCATTTAAAATGTATGGAACCATTTTATTTTTGTTTAAAAAAATTAATTGATGTCGTTTAACTCATTACGTAACTTATTTTCGATTTGAGTTTAAAGGTTTTTGATATCTCGTATAATTGCGGAATAATTGTCTGGGCACACTTAACGATTACACCCTGTATATCTATATTCTTTATTCTCTTACAAATACATATATGGTCTTTATAGGTGGCAGAGCTCACGGAGGAAGCTGCAGATGCAAAGAAGAAGCTAGAATGGGAGACGGGAGAGAACGATGTTCTGAAAAAGAAACACGCCAGTGCTATAAAGGTCAGAATTGTCCGACAAGTTAGTTACCTTTACAATTTCAAATACTACGTGTTAGATAAAGATGTATTTAAAGACGACATGAGTTTAGATTCCACACAAAAAGGATTCAAAGTGTATTCCATAACATTTAATTTTATTTGAAAAGAGCAATTCCTAGAGTTTCTTGCTCGTTCCTCTCAGGAAGCGAACGAACTGGATTCGAACCAACGTCTTCCAGCAAACGGTGCCAGACGCTATGCGAACTAAGCCACGGAACGAACTGCGGATCTTATGAATCTTTCTGTGGTCTTGTTTTTGGTTTTTAACGACTTTTTGAGTGAAGAAATATATTTCTAACAGGTGGCGCTATGGCAAAAAGTCATTAAAACGAAAAACAAAGATTTGCAGCAAGCATATAGAAAAATCCGTAAGGTCCGCTAGTTCCTTCCGTGGCTTAGTTGGCATAGCGTCTGCCACGGTTTGCTGGAAGACGTTGGTTCGATTACAGCCGGGCGAAGAAACTTTTTCTAAGTGTTCGGTGTTTAGGTGACAGTAGTTGACAAGTCCCATGTGCCTGTAATTTCACCAGCACCTTTACCCATCGAAACCAGAACGCAGTTAATGCTGACTTTACTGCTTGGCGGCAGAAATAGGTAAGGTGGCAGTACTTCCCTGGACGAACTCTTTCACAAGACTCGACTTGTTCGTCACAACTGCCTCTGTGGCCGAACGGTTATCATGCCGGACTGCCACGCAGAGGTCCCAGGTTCGATTGCCGGGCCGTGAGAAATGTTTGTATGGCCTACATTTGTTTCTCTCGTGAGTTTGGGTATAATTTGTGGTTGCCTATATGTGTGTCCATGCCACCCGCGATGCAGGGTTTCCCTAGTGCGGGACTATGTTGAGTGTGTACGTTATTATTATACATTTGATACCGGAAAATAACAGACTTCTTTGTGAAAGAGTTCGTCCAGGGAAATACTTGGCACCATACCTGTTTCTGCCGCCAAGCAGTAATGTGAGCATTACTGTTTTCCGGTTTTGAAGGGTGCTGGTGAAATTACAGTCTTATGTCTCAAGGTGCAATGGCAGTGGCCTTTAGATCTTAGCGATTTAAAGCTCTGAGTGGCACTGCAAGTCTTATGGGCAGTTATGCGATTAGGCAGACGACTTGTTCGTCATATCATTTGATATCGTAGTCTGCAACAATGTGTTTGTTACAGGAGTTGAACCGCGAACTCCAACGAGCACTAAAAAGATGCGAACAACTTGAAGCAAAGTTACCACCACCTGACACCACCTCAACACGCACTGGTAAGTGATTTAACAAACTATTCTTGATCTCCTTTAAGTAACTACTACTCATCCAGTATATAACCAGAAATAGAGACGAAATAAGGGCCATATATTCCTGGTAACACATTAGCGATACAGCTCTTATAAATATCAACTCTCATTTGCGCTGAAATATAGACAGGCCAACTACTGACCTGTGTGTACGTCTCCGTATATTCCAAAAAATATTCTGTATTTATTGTAATAATGATAATATCTCTAACAATGCCGTACTGTTCTATTCGGTGGTGTGGGAAAAACAGCAAAATATCTAGTTACAAAACAAATGGAATCACATTTCATCGGTAATTAAATATTAAATATGTAATTTTGCAATTTTCGTCCATTATAGCAAAGCTCAAGTTAACTGGTCGATTTGAAGTGAAACAATTGACGACACCCGTTAAAATTTTCGAACTCGGGCTAGCCAATCGGAGCGCAGTTGCCACAGTAATGACATGGCGGAATAGTTTTCAAGCAAATTAAATGACATTTCGTCTCTATTTCTGGTTATATACTCGATGGCGTTAGGTAAGCGTCCTCTCTCGCCGGTAGCTCTCACGTGAGAACTTACCCTCGCCACCCGCGTGCCCAAGACAGCGTTATATCTATTAACTATAGATATACAAACACTACATTTACATTACACATAGTGTTAATTGGTTTATTTTGTTTTTAATAATTACATTTTTAATAATAGTAATGAATTCATTGTTGCTTATTTATTAATTATTGTTATTATTTAAGTTAGTGGTTTATTGTAAGTTACCTGTTTATTTTTTTTCTGTCGTGTCCATTTACGTGTTGCGGCGACCTTTAATTGAGGCAGAATTAGTCTGTTATGGACGGCCGTATGCGTCTGGCCGGTACAGAGAAAATAAGAGTAGAATTACGTAAATAATTCTGGGGCTCTTATTGGCCGGGCGTAGTCCGCGGTGCATTGATAGGGCCGGTACGGTGTGGGAGACGCCGTATCGGCGTATATATATATACTTAGAATAATAACGCATAGAATGATAGTTTCATATCAACGTTCATGTAGGCTAGTTTTAGCAGTAGGTTAATTTTCGGTTTTAGTGAATATTTATATAAAAATACAAGTTGAAACGCGTTACTTCCTTGTGGAATGTGATGTTAGTATCTATTTTATGTCTGACGTATTTTTACACTCATTTACCGCACATTTCGTCATTTTTAGCTACAATTCTTGAGCTGTTCGCGGTGCAAGTTGTCCTTGAGCATTGACGGCCCGCCCGCTCGTGTAGGCCCTTTGGGAGCGCTTCAATTTGCCTCACTTAGCGTATGCGGACTAGGTTTCTATGTGTTATAATTCTAAGTGTATATTTATATATAGTATATATATATATGTATATATATGAGATTCTTGTAAGATTTGTTGATTCACTTTCTTATTCGATATTCCGATCCGAGTTGTTCGATTTTTCAACTTGTAAGTCAGATGGATATAGAGATAAGGTGTTCAAATAAGTTTTTATAGAAATGTATACAATTCACTTTCCTAAGCTTCAATAAACGGAAGATTTGAGTTATACGGAGTTTTATTGAAGAAAAGAAGAATACCGAAGTAAGTCTGGTCCGATTTACGGCGGATTCAACCGGGATCCAATAGTTTCTGCGTCACTGTTTTTCTACTTTGTAATATTTTTTTGAAGTGTTGTTTGTTGTCTTAAAAATAAATAAACTAATTTTAATGTATCTTCACAGGGTCCATATCGTCACTTAGCAGCGGAGAAAGCGCGCCGCAAGAGGAAGGATTACCGAACGGGCACACAGCATCTTTGCCTGACGTGCAGGTAAGAAGAATAGAAATAAAGGCTTGTTACAGTTATAGATACTTATATATGTATATGGTGATAATTTCGTTTGATACTTCTGTCTAATCAAGACTGTGTTAACTTAATGTCGTTGGTGTTTTGAAAAAAGGGCGTAAGCTACATTTTTTATGTAGGCTCTTCGTGAAACAGTTCGTACAAGGAAGTATCGAATAGAATAGAAATCATTTATTCTGTACAAGACACAGTATACACACATTATATTACTAAAAAAACATAACAGTTTGCGACTACAAAATTAGATATAAATTGAAGCACAGCATGAAGAAAAAAAGATAATAATAATTCAAGTATAAAATCACATCAGGCGTGTTCGCAGAAGCTCACACGGTTGGCTTTCATGCTATTCTTAGAATGAGAGCTGCCTCGTAGCTAAGCTGTATCCATGGCAGCTCAAATGAAGTTCTTCGCGTTGTGGCTGGTAGGGTTGACAGCCCGATCAGCGAATGCAGTCTCATGCAATGAAGCTATTGCATGAGACTGCGTTCGCCTTCAATTTGAGGACTTGTCTTTTTTGTTTTTCAATATTGATAGATCCTGATAGGACTACATACATAATTGTGTAACTATTGTATGTAGTCCCATCCCAACTACTGTATCTGTTTCAATTAAATGAATTTTGGTTTTTATTTGATTTGATAAAACAGAAGATGATTTAAGTAAATTATTACTGTAACTAATAATAATGAACAAAACTGGCAACGTCTGCGCTGTACCGTTACAGAATCCGAAATTAAAAAATCGTAGTTCGTGGTTTGCATTAATATTAGACATAACTGATTGAAGACTGTACCACCTCAGTCAACCGTGACCATGGGACCTTTAAAGCGCCCGAAACGTCGGGTTGTTTGAAAAAACAAATATACGCGATTTAAATTCGGAAAAATAGTTTAATTTCCTATTTATACTTAAGGTTAATATACATACAGCTTCTGCATAATTGGATGACAAAAATCCGTGGTAGGTGACTCGTTTAGCTCTTACATCTGTAAGAGTCTCCATCTAAGAAGTTTAAATTAAATATTGTAATGTTAAATGAATTGAAATGTATATTTACAAAGAGCAACCCCTAGAGTTTCTTGCTTATTCTTCTCAGGGGAATCTGCCTTATTAATAAGCAGTAGAGCTTAATCTGTATGATGATTTCAAGTGTAATTTGCTTACCTATGAAATGAAGATTATTTGGCTTTGACTTTGAAACAGTTTAAGGTGAGAACCCTAAAAATCATCTGTTTTTGTTTGTTAACATTTATTCTACATTGAATTTGGCTAGAGTATAGTTTGTTCATACCATGCCTCTCAGCCTTTATCTTATTCTGCCATAATTAATAAAACGTATTCTCTGCACGCCTAACCAGGAACCGCAATCAACAGTGGTAAGACAAACGATTTATATTAATGACTTACACAGACCTTATTTTTGCAGATCAAACATCCAAGTTTCTTTAACAAATTATTGGTAAAGGTTAGAATTATTTTGTGTGAATTGTCGAAAACGCCATCTATCGTTGAGTAGTTATACTAGTATTATGTTGTATGTCTTGTGTAGCAGGTGGGGTATTGTAGTAGGGGTTTCTTTTAAAAGATGGCGTTGTAATAATTATATATAGATTATACCATAGTTTCCTTTAAAATTATTAATTTGCAATATACTAAAAGTGTACAGGGACATTTGTAAAATAATAACAATCTCGCACGACCATACTACAAACGTCATAAACAACAAGTTTTGTTTGATTCTTTGTTTAAACCATAAAGGTACAGGTAAAGGTGGGTTCGAATCCAGGCACCTCAGAGTTTTCGAAATTTAAGGTTGTGTTTCCACCAGAGATGTGCGAGGTGTCTAGGCGGTGCGAGGATGCGTTACGGACTCTTTTCAGCTCAGCGCGGACGGGGTACGGTGTGAGCGGTGGCGATGTGTCAATGTCAGTTAGTGTCCTACGTTCAGTAGCTCTAGTTTCGTACGCCGTTTGGCACACATTCCTCGCCGGCATCCCTCGCACACATTTACTTGTACATTTGGATGTACAAATACTTAGCTCCGCTAACCCTTTACCACCGGAGTAGCGCTAAGCGAGGCTATGAAAATAAAGTAATCCTATTGGTGGACTTTCTCCTCGCACACTGCCTCGCTACGTCGCACATCTCTGGTAGAAAGGCAGCCTAAGTGCGAAATTAAAATTTTAATTTACTATGAATTTTTCGGCGAAGGAAAACATTGTGACGAAATCTACACGTCGAAGAAGGTTCGTCACCCTCGGAAAACCTGTGAAGTCGACTATGACGGAGAGGAGTCCTCCGACCAGCAATGGGACGTATAAATGGGTTGATGATATTCATTTGCATTTCCTGCACAATTAATTTCTTCTCCGTTCCTGTAGGTTCGAGAACCAGACCGCCAAGCGTTAATTGAAAGGATAGTTTCTCTCCAAAGAGCAGCCGCTCGAAGATCAGAACGATGCGAATTTCTTGAAGAACATTCTAGACAATTGACCGCCGAACTTCGCGCTAAAAGTCGATTGCTGCGACATCTATTGTGCAGTATGCCGGCTGGAGCTGTCGCTTCGCAGGATAGTGATGCACATAAGGTTAGATAGATATATATTATATAAATAAATACTATATAAGATGAATAGAGACGAATTTGTATCTCTTGTGGCGCCATCTGTCGTTATAGTATAGTTTGTCAGTTGAAAATGCCGCTTTGGATAGTGCTAGCTATTCATAACCTTACGATAACTCAGTTGTCGACCGATCTCTTTTCATTTTTATTCACTACACCCGAATCGAACGTCAAACTGTCATATTCGAAACCGAACCGAAATGACGTCACACCCGTACGATGCCTCGAGTTTCTCGACCGGCAAAGGCTGCAAATGTTATTCAGAACACAGTTACCGAATGAATGTTGCCGAATGTCTATTGTTTACAAAGAAGGAGTGTAATATGGAAATCTCTTATTATCAATTTTATTAATTTATTTTAATGCAAGACTAATGCATTCCTATATTTTAGGCATTTAAAGTCTTAAAAATGTATATAAAATGATTTTCATTATAATCTATTTCACCAATTAACTCCGTAAACGCTGTTGGATAGCGATATCGTAAATCTCTGAAAGTTCTGAATAGCTCGGAAGGTGCCCTTCGATTCGAGAACGATATCGAATCGAAGATTCGGTTAAAATATCGAAGAGTTCTCCGTCCGACATCAGTCCGAAACAATTACTGTCAAATAAGTAATACTCGACCATTTGAAAAAACAATGTGAAGTATGAAGCTTCATTTGCATCATGCGTCTTGTTTCGTAGCTCCGGGAGAAAAATAACCCATAGGAATACCGTGATATGAAAAGAGATGGCATGGAACACGAAAGAAAGAAAATAAATTTATTCAACGCAGACACATGTTACAAGTACAATATGATTTTATGCGAAAAGGGCCCGACTCAGCTAATACTGTGGCGGAGCCACAACCCTGGTATTCCGTGGACCCTTTTCGAACTGGCCGATTTAAAAATAAAAATTACAAATTAAATTAAAAATAAAATAAAAAATTGTGGATGCGCATTAAAATAGGTACAACATAACAGGTAAACATAAGTAACTCAATTAGATCAGAAAAATAATATTGCCATATGCCTACAGTGTTTGCGATTATTTCTCTTTGCGTTATACAAGTAAAATTTATCTTAAAGGCGTATTTTGCAGTATTAAAATGTCCTCTCTGAGTTTATTTTTGAAAGTATAAACGGAACGGAGAAAAAACACAAAACCATTTAGGGTAGAAAAAGGAAGACACAACTCTCGCTTTTAAATGACAATTACATTATCTGTTGTGTAATCAATCACGCATGTAAGGTAACAGACATGGTTGTAAGATGGCGCCGTTAATAATTAAATGTTCTCGAAGTACCCAAAAGATGGCGCTAAATTGAAACCACTTTTCTTTAGTTTTCAATCGGAAAATTATTTACCAATTTGTCTGTTCTCACATGCTACTTGTAGCCGAAAAGGAGGCTCACGAAGGTACCAAATTTTTTTTTAAATCTAGATATGCAAATCCGTCCTCACGCCGGCCACTCACCAGCTATTGTGCTATTTTGCAATTACCACGCAGTCCATGTTACACTAGTGGGATTATAACCAAAACGTTCAACACTCATAAATTTCTGCTCAGTAATCATGAACTGCATTGTGATTGCTTAATAGCGAAGAAATTTGAAATGCAGCTTAAACATAGTCTGCTTGCAGTCATTATGATGACCTCTATAATCGAGTGGCTTGCACACCGGTTTCATGGTGTCGTCATCTCTGAGGTCCCGGGTTCGATTCCAGTGTAGAAAAACTAATTTTCCTATATTGTCTCGGGTCTGGGTGTTTGTAGTACCATAGTTGTTTCCGATTTCCATAACACAAGTGCTTTAGTTTCAGTTTATTTTATTTTATTTAGTTTCATTTCCATAATGCAAGTGCTTTGGGATCAGAGCAACGTATGTTTATGTTTTATAATATCGAATAACGGGACGAACAAGTCATGCGCCTGAAGGTAAGCTACACGCCTGTTCATAACAGTTACTCAGAGCTTTAAATCGCAAAGATCTGAGAAACACTGCCACTGCGCCCGTCACCCTGAGATATAAATTGACAAGTCCCATGTGCCTGTAATTTCACCACCATATGATGTTGTTGATGTTGTATATATAGAGTTTTCCATCAATGGCGGGTAGATTTTGACAGTTCATAGCGGCCATTTTGTGAGGCTACTTTTTTTTGTAACAGTAGTGAAAGAGTTCGTCCAGGGAAGTACTGCCACCGTACCTATTTCTGCCGCTAAGTAGTAAAGTGAGCAGTACTGCGTTCCGGCTTAGAAGGGTAAGGGTGCTGGTGAAATTACAGGCACATGGGACTTGCCAAGATGACGGGCGCAGTGGTGGTGCACGACTTGTTCGTTCCGACGCTGGGTATTATTAAAAATAAAACTATTGGATGGTTTGTAGACAATTAGTAATAATGATGTGCCTGAGAGGCACTTAAATGGGCCCTTTACTATATGTACCAGAATAAATTAATTAGGCAAGAACCAGTTAAAAAAGGTACAGTAAGGTATTTAAAGGTACAAAGGTATTATTCAATAATTTTCCTTACGTATTAAAATTTAATCAAAACGACTGATATTAAAAATTTAGTTTTTCTTTTCAGCGACCCTTATTTTTCTTGCCACTATTTTTAGATTATGTTTATTAAAATATTAAATATAAAAAAATTATTTATTTCTCAATTTGGTTCAACAATGGTAGATGAGGTTCTCCCTTTAAGCAAATGTATGCTTGTCTTGAGAAAGCCTTGCAACTAAGATTAAAACTGAGAATTTACAACAGAGTTACATCAGTGGGTTAGTTTTAAGATAGAATGATATTTAAAATGGAAAAATTAAAAATAAAATTATCGTTAATATTTACCGACAAACAGGGAAGTTTATGTACACGCCAATAACAAAAAAAATGTTTTGCCGCAGCGAGAGATTGCCCGCCTGGGGGGTGGCGCGATGGCAGCAGTGTGGGGCGGAGACCCCAACGGCATGACATTAGAGTTATCCTTAGAAATGAACAAGAGGTTACAAGCAGTTCTTGAAGACGCGCTACTTAAGAACATCACGCTGAAGGTGAGTTACACATTACATAATGCACAAAAACCGCGAAAGTCTAATTGTTTGACTAGTGTTGGCTCATGGAAAAAAATTCCATTAACAAAATATATATATACGTTCGTCCCGTGGCTTAATTGGTATAGCGTCTGACACGGTAAGCTAGAAGACGTCGGTTCGAATCCGGCCGGATGGAAGGAATTTTTTCTGAGTGTTTCATCTTTGTATTAATAATTATAACAAACTAGTGGAGTAATTTAACAAAAAATAATTGAATATCAATTAAATAAAAATTTAAAATACAGTGAATAGCGACATCTCTCGCCAGGACTGGTAGCTGTAAAGGTACTAACTGGGTGATAAATCTTTCATAGATTTCTCATAGATGGCGCTACGACTAAAAAGTCGTTGAAAAACCAAATACAAAGACACGACGCAAGCACATGGAAAAATTCGTGAGGTCCGCTCGCTGGTTCGTTCCGTGGCTTAGTTGGTATAGCGTCTGACACGGTAAACTAGAAGACGTCGGTTCGAATCCGGCCGGATCGGTGGAATTTTTTTTGAGTGTTCGATCTTTGTATTAATAATTATAACAAACTAGTGGAGTAATTTCACCAAAAATAATTGAATATCAATTCAATAAAAATTTAAAATATATATTTTCCGGATATGTTTCTTTTCATTTTTCATATTTGACGTTGACACTCAAAAAATTTAAGTTACTGAACGAAAACGACGGAGCCTTGGCAAGGATTTTTTTTTGCTGTTATCAGATGAAATCATTTTAAATCTCGTTTTTCTCTACGTGGCGTTTAGCTGCGCAAGATTATTTTATAAGATTATTTTTACCTGAAATACAGAAATCTCCTAGTTCAGGTATATATGTTATATTTTACGTTGCCACGCATAATAAGTCTTTACTTTACTCCTTTGTACAATAAGTTATTCAATAAACAATTTATTTATTATAATTCTCGCTAAATAAAACTTCAAAAGATATTAAATATCTTTTGAAGTTCTACGTTCAGGGCCTTACCATGAACTCTTATTATTATTATGATTCAGTTTGGGACCTAAAATGCATCATTGTGAGACACCGCTACATGAGGTGTGTATCGCCATCCCGCTTTTTTGTCGTTACGAACCTATATTTTTAGAACGAGTTGATGATGATGAGTTCCACCATAGTCATTCACTTTTGAGTCTTCTGTTATCATTGATTGTCGGGTACATAACCAGAAATCGAGACGAAATAAGGGCCATCCATCCTTGGCAACTCATCAGGCAAATGGGCCTTTTATCACTTTTAAATATTAACTGTCGTTTGGGCTGATATCACAAATTAGAAAGCTGGAATAGTACAGCGCCAACAACTGACCTGTGTGTACGTCTCCGTATATTCCAAAAATATTCTGCATTTATTGTAATGAACATAATATCTCTAACTCTCTCTCTCTCTCTGGGGGCTGTTCTATTCGGTTGTGTGGGAACAACAGCAAAACATCTAATTACGAAACAAACGGAATCACATTTCATCGGTAATTAAATATTAAATATGTAATTTTCCAATTTTTGTCTATTATAACAAAGCTCAAGTTAAACTGGTCGATTTGAAGTGAAACAATTGACGATACCCGCCAATTGTTTCGAATTCGGGCTGACCAATCGAAGTAATGATTTGGCAACGTTGTCACAGCAATGATTTCGCAAAATAGTTTTGAAACAAATTTCGTCTCTATTTCTGGTTATATACTCGATGTCATTGATCAATATGTCTAGTTTCGGTAAGATGTCGCTAGATGGCGTTGAGCCTTATAGAACATGCGAAAACTGTTCGTCATCTAGCGATAACTTACCATACCTTTACTCAAACATTTGTGAACCGATTTCGATGATTCTTTCTTTGTTAGAAAGGGGGTACCTCATCCAACCTTTGAGGTGGAATATTTTCTTTATATTTGAATGGGAAAATATAAAGAAAATATTCCACCTCAAAGGATGGAAAATTAGGGTATATTTTCTGTTGACCCATTTCAATAAAACTTGGTAAATAGATGTAACTCCACGAACTTTGGAGGTCAGCTCTTTTTGATAAAAAGTTATTCATTTCTTTTCAGGAAAACATGGACACTCTTGGCGAAGAGATAGCGAGGCTAAAAGAACGAAAGGCGACGGAAACCAAAAGTAGTTAAAACAATTGTTTATTTAAGCGTACTCTCTTTCCAATAAACATATTTCTTACAAGCGATGAAACGTACGGTGATTGTATAGTCGGGTAGCCGTGTAAAGGGAAACACAGCCTGGTAGCGTTGATATTCATTACTAGAAACAGTTCAGTGTTTTGACAGATCAAACCTTTAGTGTAATCGATCCCTCCTACGTAAATAATCGTAAGCCCAAATTCACAACTGTACAGCGGAACATTATTTTAGTACGAGTAGAGAGTCTGTCTTTTATGAAGACGGACTAAAATGACAGCTCAATTGCGCAAAAGTGTTGCCCGCTTGCGAGCAGCTAGTGATTGCAGTCGATAAATATTCTATCGAGCATCTACTGAATATTGGACACGTTTATAGAATAAATAGTCGAACTTGTTTCATTTGAATCATCCCCGACCTCATTATTCATCCAATTACTGAGCACAAGTTCGTTTGAATTGTCAATTTTTGAAAGCTTATACATACATACTCTGTATTTAGAAATATGTTTATGAAAAATATAAGGAGGAGACATATTTTAAAGTTTTTAATTTTAATTCAATATAGATAATCAAATCCGGCTATTCTTGTTAAAACGTATATGAATAAAAATTGATCTCGACTTTCTTATTTTCTCTTTACTACTAAAAACATTCACAATTCAGTCATTTTTGACAAAATTTTTATCTTCTGTCACAACCCATCGATAAAACTATCGACAACAACTACATAACTATTTAAAGTTTTATGAAAACTTGCAACCCTATAAATGTCATTTTACTCCGTCTCCTAAAAAGACAGACTATACCTTAACATATTTCTGCCGCCAAACAGTAATGTGAGTATTACTGTGTTCCGGATTTCAAGTGCATTGAGGAAACATTTGGGACTTGTCAACTTTCTGTCTCAGAGTGACGGGCACAGTGGCAGTGCCCCACACATCTTTGCAATTTAAAGCTCTGAGTAGCACTACAACTGTTAGGGATAGGCGTGTCGCTTACCACCAGGCGCACGACTTGTTCGTCCCGTCACTTGGTATCGTAAAAAAATAAATTAATAAAAGTACATTCCAAAAGGAAAAGCTTTTTAAAATTGTTATGCAATGTGTTGATTTGCATTCTCGCCATATTTAAGAAATTAATAATAGAAATAATGCTAAGTCATCTAAAAATATAAAAAAAAAATTCTGTTCAATATTCTGGCTAATTGTATCTAGTAAAGTTTTGTGAAATTGTCCCCCAAGTGTATTCACCGCGGAGGACAATGACCCTGCCACTCGCTTCACCGAGCGATATATAAACTTTCTCTCTGTCTCTCTCTCTCTCTCTGTTTCTTACCACGATATGATTTCTTATAATTTCCCGATATTTGGCAATGGTACATAGTCCCATGGTCACGGGTTGGCTATTGGGAAAATAATGGGAAGTTACAACGTGGTAAGCACACCGTAACTATAAATGAAACATGTTGTTGAATAACTACGAAAGTTTTTCAATATTGTTTTGTTTAACCGCACCTTTAGACTTGAGGAACTAACACAGTAACTTTTATGTTGCTTATTTATTTTTGAGATACCGGTCAATTTAAATACTTGCTGTCACAAAGAAGTCAGTGCATGAGCTTGTCGAAAAAAAAAACACAAAAAGTTATTTATTTTTAAACGTAAGTAAAAAGAAATGATCCAGTTTTATGCTGTTTTTTTACCTATTATTATTTTTTGTTTGTGTTGTAATTTTGTCGCGAATCTTGTTTCATTTCAAAGTGGAGAAATGTAATGATAAAGTTTTTCTTTTTAATTTATTACTAAGAAAATAAGTTAATTGATTTGTATAAATTAAAATTGAAGCATGTAAATGAGTATTATATCGTACTTCGAAGTAGAAGTCTCTTCTACGATACAATTTTAAAATAAATAACATTTTTATTGGCGCCTGTACGTGTAAACTTCTATACGTGTTTATCGACATATGTGTCATAGCTACTGCATAGCTTACGGTGTGTATGGTGTACAAAATGGTGTCTATTGTGTATAAAGCTTTATTAATGTATGATGTTGCTGTTAATATTTATTTTCAACATGTCCTTTTTTGACGTACTCCAATTCGACACTGTACTGTATAAATACCAGATATTCTTCCGACCGCTAACTAAAATGCGGTTAAAATTTTGAGATAAAATAAAAAAACCATAATCCAGGTCTAGAATATTGATATTGTTTAATGATATTTCAGCTATGCATCGTTAGGGTAAGCTTCGATATATATGTATAGATTTGTGCTTTTTTTCTAATTAAAAACGGATATTTGACCATTTGTCACTTAGCCGCGTTAAGTTAGTGGACGGCAGTACTGTCGTAACCAAAAGATTATGGAATTGAAAAAAACAATTTGAAAGTTTAAAAAATTACTGAATGGAAATAATAAAATTTTCTTGTTTTATAAACAATGTGGATAATCATCAACTCATTTTTACTTCGCACTGCTGAGCACGGGTCTCCTCTCGTGCAGGGGTTTAAGCCATCCGGGCGGCGTCGTGGTGAATGTTCACTGATCCCACGGCGCCGACTCAACCGGCGAGAGGGAAACCCGGGGGGGTTTTAGTGGGGTAGGCCCTCCAGTCTGGAGGGAGAGTCCCCACATAACCCCTGAGTCTCCCTGGGCTCAGGGGTATCCATAAAGATTTCCCCCCCCCGTCAAAAAAAAAGAAAAAAAAAAGGGGTTTAAGCCATGGGTTATGCGCCTTCTTCGACGTGCAACTGGTAAATTTCCCATGATGAAGGAAAACATTTTCATCATTTTCGAGTTACGACAACATTTCTACCGACAAGTGGTCAAATAAAAAATTGAACACAAAATTCTCTTTTCAAAACATTAAATTTAACTAATTTTAACAATTAGTTAAGTTGTTCGACTTATCGGAACTTACCCTAACGATGCAAAGCTGAAATATTTTAATATTCTAAAACAAGGTTATGGTGTTTTATGATATATCTCAAAAAAATATTTTGTCACTTGACCGCGTCTTAGTTTTTTTTTCTGTGCAAAATAAAACTGTCAGGTATAACGACATCGTATTATCGTCACGGGTCTCATTTTAAAGAATTGTTATCGAATAATCGCGGTAAATTATTTTTGACTCTCAGTATGTACCTAAATAGTAATTATGTAGCACCCCTCACGGAAGAATGGTAAATGGAGTTACGTCAACAAAAGTTTATTATATTGTAGATAGAGAATTGTGTTACAAGAATTGGAGATGATGTGGGTTATACTCTCCTGTATCTGATGGAGCAATAAACATGTTTGACGTAACTCCACTTATACCATTCTTCCATGAGGGGTGCGAGTACATTATATAAACTAATAAATATAAAATTTTATCGAGCATTCCATATACAGGGTTCTTTGTACAACATTTACAACCTCGCAGGACTATATTACTAACATCATAAACAACAATTTTCGTTCCATGACTTAATAATTGATCACATTTTAGTTTTCTATACAAAAATAAATAGATTTAAATATATCGCTCTAAACGGTAATAACTCTGTGCAGGACGGAGGCGTAGTCGTCCCGGAAGACGCTTGCACGTTTGAACTTATCCTACCAAATATAGATCTAAAAAGTGTCACACAGTACAACATAAACTTTAAAGTTTATTTTTGGTAAATTTATTGTTTCGTAAAAGTCTTGGAACAAATTTGTGAGGTTGTTAGTATTTTAAAAATAACCCTGTGTAATATTTTGAGAAAAGTAATTATTTTTTTTAAACAATACAGGCTGATTTTTTTTGTCGTGATTTGATAAATAAATGTGCCCTTGTGACATAATTTCACATCGACCCCCTCCTACGTAAAGTATCGTATGTCGAAATTGCCAAGTTTACAGGGGAGCGTTTTAAAGTTTTGAATTCACTGAAATGAGCATAATACGTGACTTTATCATTTTCGGAGTCGTACACACAGGTCAGTTGTTGGCGCTGTACTATTTCAGCTTTCTAATTTGTGATTTCAGCGCAAACGAGAGTTGATATTTAAAAGTGATATAAGGCCCATTTGCCTGATGAGTTGCCAGAGAAGGATGGCCCTTATTTTATCTCTATTTCTGGTTATATACTCAATGCTAACGAAACACAACTGAGATGATTAAAAATCAGACTTTGAGTCCGTATCGAAGGAATTTTACTTCGTGTTCGATCGTTAATCATTATAACAAACTAGTGGAGTAATTTCACAAAAAATTATTGAAAAATCATTGTTCAATAAACTTTATTAATGTTATCTATGTTACCAGTTAAACGTTTTATTTATAAAAACACTATAAACAAAATCACCCTGTCGTTATCATCTGCTGCAAGAGGTATGCACAATCTGCCTGAGTATTGCCAGGTGTGCCATAGCACAAGTTTAACCTAGTTTTGGGCTATTTAAGCTCTAATTTTAGTTTAATTTTGGACATGTTTGGAGATTATAAATTACTTTATTGTTATTTATAAAGGGCCTAGACATCGTGTACAACGGCGGATTGTGCAATCTGTCTGCAGATGTGAGACTTAATTATTAGTTGTGTACAGTATAAATTTTAATGTACGCCTAATACAGTCAAGAACAGAAATTTGTGTCCAAACAATTGTTTCATAAATATATGTATTTAAATAAATTTATAATAAGTAAGTACCTTCGGAACCTAAAAAGGCACAACTAGATTTTTTATGAAAATTTAGTTATATTTATCGAGTTGTTAGGTTTTCGCAATTGTTACACTAGGAAATGAAAGTATTTTTCCGGATTTAAATCGCGTATATTTGTTGTTCCAAACAAACCAACGTTTTGGGCCCTTTACGGTTGAGTCAACTGTGATCATGTTGTTTGTTCCATTATTGCTTATCAACATCCAACCTCTTTTTATCAGAAAATCCTAGAAAAGAAATCCTAGAAAATTTCGAAAATTATTTATTTCTGAATTTTTAATTCTGCTGCTTGTGCCTTTTTCCTTCCGAGGGTAGAATAAATGAAACCTTTTATTCTACCATTAGGGGAATAAGTTACAACTTTTTTTAAACTAAAATTTTCCTTAATTGATATATATATATATACCTATTTACAGGGTTTTTCAATAGGGACAACAATTTTGTATTTCAATAAAAGACGGAATAATCGAGACTTGCGCTGTTATGTATTCCAGGTGCAGTACACATGTTGCATTTAAGAATGGGTTCATATGACCGCCGCGAGCACGTTTGCAGCGTTATTTCATTATTACACTTGAAATCGTCAAATTGGTTAAACTCTACCGCTCATTCGTATTCATTATTTTTGTTTAACTACGTCCAATTATTCTGTGTTTTGTTGAAATACAAAACTGGTATTGAAAAACCCGATGGTATATAATACCTGTTAAAACATATCATCACAGAGCAACTCTTGAAGGCTAACCGCGAA